CCTCCTCTGTGTGTGGCCAGAACATCCAAGGTCTTCAGCCCGAATGATGAGTACTGATTTTCTTGTGTTTCTCCCAACTACATTGTGAACTCTACACTGAGGGCAGGAGCTGGGTCTTACCTTTCACTGGACCCTTGGTGCCTACACAATTCCTAGACTCAAGGAAGCCTTTGTATCCAATACCTGAACTTGCTCCCATATTCCCCAACCTTTTACCCCTTTTTGCTTATTGGAGACCTGGTTCTGACCTGCTTGGCTTGTGCAAAGCTCTGAGAGAGGAACAGTTTGGCTTGGGCCCCTCCCGATGGAATCTTTCCATTCCAAAGTTGTTGCTCCTTTCTTTGAGGCTCCTTTTAACTGTTCCCAACTCCCTTATTCCCAGGAACTCTTAAATTCTTTCTCTCCTTATCAAAATACTCTTTCAGAATAAGTACATTCACTCTGGAATACAACTGCTGTTTTCTTTCCCAGGCTTATATGTATTTTAGCAGAAAAAATTCAAAGGAATTAATTTCTAATTGTGGAAATTGCAGGCCACAGGAGGAGAAGGCGGAGAAAAAAATTTGCGGATAAATCAGCCTTCTGCAGAGATTTTCTTCAAACACTTTCATGCATCCTCTTTGATTAGAGGATTGGAGAAGGGAGAAGCTTACCCATCTTCTGCAGGCGGCCGGAAGAATAAAGAGGAGAGATTTTTCAAGCATGGTTTGTCTCTTGGCTCATCCCACACACCTCCCTGTGGGGATTCTACATAGGGACGGTGTGTCCCAGGGCTTACCAAAGATGGCCATGACAATGAGATCTGCCCACGGAAGTATCACAGCAAAAGGCAAGGAATCAGAAATAAGAAGGCTGAGAGGATGGAACCAGACCATGAGAATGGGGAGGCAGCAGTCAGGCCCCCGCTGTAGCTGTGGGAGGGAGCAGAAGGGAGACAGAGGTCACCAGGGAGCAGAGTGAAGACAGGTGAGCCCAGGGGACATATATCACCAACACGGGCAGCCTAGGGTGTGCCTTTTAGGTGGGTTGTGGCAAGATGCACCCTGCTGGGTGAGACCGTGTTTGGGGCAGAATTCAGGCTCCCATTCTGCAGATGACCAGAACAGCCTCTGTTTCACACTATCTCTGGCTGAGATGTGACCCAGGCTCCCCAGGGGCTGTGACTCTTGGGACATGGCGACCACCAACAGTGGCTAGTCTAGCACCTCCCAAAGCAGTGAGCTGAGTGCTTCGTGTGGTATTAGCCACCGTATGGCACTGAGCAGGGTCCATGTTATCCTGGGTGCAGAAGTGCAAAAAGTAGACGGGATTCACCTCCAGACTTCCAACCAGTGCCCAGTGGCTTTGTAGTCAGGTCATCAAGGAGCTTATTCCTGCCACGTGGCCCCTTCATCAGAATTGTGTGCAGCCACTGGGCTGTGTCCAGTTTTGGACACTCATGAAGGGGCTGTCAGTCCTGTTTGGTGCCTACTGTCCCCATCAATCGCAGCAGTTGCTGTTTTCCCCACCCCATTCAGACACAGGAGACTTAACGTGGCAAATAGGCAGGGCAGCTTTCAGGGGTTTCACAGAGATCCCTTACTTTCCTTCCCCCTATAGTCTCTTCGTCTCCCTCTTTTTTTTTGAGAGAGAGAGCCTCACTCTGTCTCCCAAGCTGGAGTGCAGTGGCATGGTCATGGCTCACTGCAATCTCCAACTCCTGGGCTCATGTGATCCTCCCACCTCAGCCTCCCAAGTAGCTGGGATTACAGGAGTGTGGCACCATGCTGGACTAAATTTTTTCATCTATTTTTTGTAGAGACATGGTCTTGCTATGTTGCCCAGGCTGCTCTTCAACTCCTGAGCTTAAGCGATCCTTCCAACTTGGCCTCCCAAAGTGCTGGGATTACAGGCATGAGCCACCAAGCCCAGCCTTCCCTGTATTCTCTTATACTTTGCTTACACCCCCTAATTCCTTATTAGGATTTTATCCCTTTTTCTCAAGGCGCTGTCTCTTGTGAGGATGCAAATATCTGAACATCTTCCTCAGTCTTTTCGCTGGTGTGTGCTTGCCAGATGCTAATTGGGGCAGGTTTTCACCAAAAAGGGGCAGAGGGAGGGTGAGTTGGGTGGGCAGCACGTGGGAACAGGTGGTTAAAAGGGTGTGTGGGGCTCATGAAGGCCGAATACATGTACTTTCCCACCAGCCTCTAGTAGTGATCCTAGCTTCTGAAACCCAGCCAGGAAATCTGGGCTGATGGAAAATTTTTGTACTGATTCCAAATGGGGGGGCCATTTTTGAAATTATAGCTTGGATGCTGAAATCTTATAATTTCCAGGCCATTTGGATGATTTATGGGATCAATATATCATTTGAAATGGAAACTATTCCGGAACATCCAGGCTGCTTGGTGGCCAGTCTTGTGGTGGTGAATGACAGCGGGGCCCTCTGGTAGAGGCTGTCTGCTGACCTGTCTAATCCTTTATTCTGCAAGCATTTAGTGGAGAGGGGGAGTGTGGCCACCAGTTGTCCTGTCCTAGTCAGTGTGACCCTCCTTCCAGCTCAGACCATGGCTCAGCCCTAAAAGAAACCATTGCTCCCCTAAGAGTTCAGCAAAATGGGTGAGAATCCAGGAGCTTCTCTGTTGTCCGTGTCTTGTGGTCTCATTATGAGTTTTTCTTTTGTGGGAAGGAAAAGAAGAAAAGAGGGCGCAAATAAAGGACTGGGTGGGGCAGGAAACCAGCAAAACACAAATAGAGAAGGGGCACACTCACCAGAACCCCCTTTGAACTTCTTGGAAGAGACCTTCAACGTCTGGTTTTCTGCAGACAGCCTGGGACCAGCCTGAAGTCTATTTTGCATTTCTTCAGGAAAAGGCAGGCGTTCTCCAGTTTTCTAGTAGAGAGGGGTAAACTATAAGACATTAGGAAACATTTTGCAATGTCCCACATTTCTAAGTCTCTCCTACGCTTGGAGGCTTGAGGAAGGTCTATAAACCCCCTTACACCCTAGCTGACAGATCCCATCTCTCCGTAAGAGAGTACTAAGCCACTCTGCACACAGCACAGGCCAGTCTTGCCTCCTTAGCTCTTCTGGCACTTGCTAACAGGATCAGGGTCTATCCCTCTTCGTTCTCTCTCGTGGTGCCTAACGGGCTGTACATATAACAGATGCTCAGTAAACTTGGCCATGGCCTTATTAGCTTCATGGCAGCTGCAGAGGCTTTGATCTTGAAGTGAGGAGGGACCTCCCATCACGTGATCTGTGCTCTCTTTAGAGCAGGGAAGCTGTGTGATTGTAATCAGGTGGGAGCCGTGCTATGGAGTCCACCTGTGTTTCCGTGTGACCTTGGTAGAGGTACCTTGTTTTTCTGCCATATCCCTTCCCAGCCCCGCAGCCTCCACTGCACACCCGGGCTCTCCCGTCTGTACACAAAACGCTCCAGATTCTGGGATGAAACATAGGCCTGTCCAGGTGCAAATGATTGCTCCTTTATTACTGCAGACATCCTCCCTTTCTTCTTTTAAGTAGTCTTTGAAATTAAACTAAAAAGGAAATATTTGCACAGAGATTTCCCCAAGGCCATTTTCAATACACCTGGTAATCAGCACTGACTTTCAAAAGCAGGGTTATTATTGCCTGAAAATTATTGCGTCATTTGACCAAAACCCTCTTGCGAATGTTTCTGATGAAAATTTTTTATTGAAAATGTTTTTTAATGAGGCAATTTTTCTCCCTTTTCATCAGAGGGGCAGAGCTACCTCACTGTGGCTGTTTATTTAAATGATGGAAGACTTGACTACATCCCATGCTTTTCTTCTGAGTGCCTTCAGATGATCTCTGCTTGTGTCTAGGGTGAAACTGAGGCACTGAGGATGGGGTGGAAGTTGCTATTATGGTCTTTACCCCCAATCTTTCAATGACCAGTCCTGGAGTAAGGCAAGGACCTAGGTGTCCTGAATCACCTTTTGCTCTTTAGGTAAGTACCTTTGGAAAAATTATGATAGAAGAGAGATCTATCTTTACTAACCTCACCCTGCATCATCCTTAGATAGGCTAACTATGGGCTGGGGGCAGTGGCTCACACCTGTAATCCCAGCACTTTGGGCGGCCGAGGTGGGCAGATCACCTGAGGTCGGGAGTTTGAGACCAGCCTGACCAACATGGAGAAACCCCATCTCTACTAAAAATACAAAAAATTAGCTGGGCATAGTGGCGCATGCCTGTAATACTGGGAGGCTGAGGCAGGAGAATTGCTTGAACCTCGGAGGCAGAGGTTGTGGCGAGCTGAGATTACACCATTGCACTCCAGCCTGGGCAATACGAGTGAAATTCTGTCTCCCACCATCAAAAAAAGAAAGACTAATTATGGTAGACCTTGTTAACTTTTGACTGTGGAGTATTTTTCAATTCATTTTCTTTTCAAGTAGCATTGCAATGATCTTTTGGGGAATTACCTCTTTTCTCCTGGACACCGGGTCAGTTGTGATCAATAATCAGATGCCGGGCCGGGCGCGGTGGCTCAAGCCTGTAATCCCAGCACTTTGGGAGGCCGAGGCGGGTGGATCACGAGGTCAAGAGATCGAGACCATCCTGGTCAACATGGTGAAACCCCGTCTCTACTAAAAATACAAAAAATCAGCTGGGCATGGTGGCGCATGCCTGTAATCCCAGCTACTCAGGAGGCTGAGGCAGGAGAATTGCCTGAACCCAGGAGACGGAGGTTGCGGTGAGCCGAGATCGCGCCATTGCACTCCAGCCTGGGTAGCAAGAGCGAAACTCCGTCTCAAAAAAAAAAAAAAAAAAAAAAAAAAAAAAAAAAAAATCAGATGCCTGCCGGTCCGTAGGCAAAAAGCGGGCCCTTGAGTTTAGCAAGGCTGTTGGGCTGCCTGTACTTATTGGTAACATTTTCACAGAACTCTTATTAAACTGGATTATTTGATGCCAGCTTAGCATTACCAAATTTAGCAAATAAAAATGCAGCATCCCGGTTAAATTTGAATTTCAAATGAACTGATAATTTTTTTTTTTTCAGGAGCACGTGCACTTTATTGAACTGGACTGTAGAAAAGTGTGTGAGGGTAAAGGGCTGACACAGGATGGGCTGGGGGCAGGGCGAGGAATGGAAGCTGGGGTACATGGGAGGCAGGTGAGGGGTGGAGCCCCTGGCCTGGGTGATTCCTCTGGATCCACTGATAGACTTGCAGAATCAGTATTGGGATGATGATCAGCAGAATGGTCATGATGATGCCCAAAATCAGGGCCCAGATGTTCAGGCACTTGGCGGTGGAGGCGTAGGCCTGGGCCCCGGTCAGGTCGCCAACCATCTTCCTGTCCCTAGACTTCACGGAGTAGGCGAACGCTATGAAGCCTAGGCAGCAGGAGTTCATGAAGAGGGTGTTGAACAGGGACCAGACGACGTGGTCCGGCACGGAGGTCTCGCTTCGGATGTGGATCACGGTGGATGTCGGGGGCGCAGGGTTGTGGGGCGCCCCCAGCACATCCACCTCATGTTCCTCCTTCAGCATCTCATAGTTCGGGGGACGGTCGGTGCTGGCAGGAGTGAAGAAGGTTGGGACAGTGTGGTTCATGGTGTCCGGGGAAGACTGGCCGTGGTGGGGCTGCTGGGATGCTTCTCCTAATTTTTATTTTTAATTTTCAGAGATAAGGTCTTGCTCTGTTGCCCAGGCTGGAGTGCAGTGGCATGATCATAGCTCACACTGCAGCCTTGACCTCCTGGGCTCAAGCCATCCTCCTGCCTCAGCCTCCCAAGTAGCTAGAACTACAAGTGCAAGACACCACACCCAGCTAATTTTTTCATTTTTTGGAGAGATGGGGTCTTACTATGTTGCCCAGGCTGGTCTCAAACTCCTGGGCTCAAGCAATCCTCCTGCCTTGGGTTCCAAAAGTGCCAGGATTACATTGCAAACTCCTGTGCCTGGCCCCAACTAATAATTTTTAAGTGTAAGTATATCCCTCATATTGAATGGGCTATACTTATGCTACAAAAGTATTTGTTGTGTATCTGAAATTCAAATTTAACTGGGCATCATGCATCTTATCTGCCTACCCTATCTTTATGCTGAGATGCACCCACTCTTGGGAATGTTTAGCTGTTGCTGCAGCAGCGAAACGGAGCCCAGGCAACCCAGTGTTGGTACCACAGTTGTCTTTCACAGGGACACTGGGTGGGAACGGTGTCTACGTGGACCTACGGCCCTTCTGAAAGGCTAAAGGGGCAAACTCAAAACAAAACCATGTCCCTTCTTTTAGTAAAGCAGAACCAGGCCAAGGACTCTGTGCATTTGGTCAAGTTCCACAGCCAGAGGTGGAAATGATACAGAGGTTTAGAGCTGTGCTCCAGGATATGAGGTAAGGGATTTTTAGAAGCAAAAGACCCATTAGATGCCTATTAAAATATTGGTCAATGAGCCAGAATATTATGAATTTTCAGTTTTAGGGCAGCAATGAGTGAGGCTGGGAGAATTCAGCTGGAGCTTAGGAAGCGAGAAGGCGGAGAGAGACCTCCAGTTGGTAGACAGTGCTGGGCAGGCCAGTCTGGGCTCTGGGAGAAACCAGAGATGAAGCCCGACTGAGGCTGGAGCCTCAGCCAGGGTCCCCAGTGCTAGGCCCCTCCAGCGAGGCCTGTCGCAGATTGAAGGGCTAGCCATTGGGCCAGATAGGAGATGCTCAGCTTTGGATTGTGGGTGTTCTCTGCAGATGGGCCTCCAGCTACCCAAAAGGCAGGGAAGGCTTTCCTTCCACAGCCCTCAGATGATAGACAGCCATGCCATCACGTGGCGGGACACACTGAATTTACAGGACTCTTTTCGTTTTTTATTTTTTAATTTATAATTTAAAAAACTAGAGACGAGGTCTCACTGGTCTTGAACTCCTGGCCCAAGCAACCCTCCTGCTTTGGCCCCTTGAAGTATTGGGAATACAGGTGTGAATCACTTTGCCTGATCAGGAGTTTCAATCTGAAGGGGTCAGTGCCCCAACCCTCTTTGTTGTTCAAAGGTCGATTGTATATTCTCACTATATTTATTTGGGGGCATTAAATGTGTCTGTTTGCTTAACATAAACATTTATTATAAACCCTTCTTTTGGAGATATTCTCAAAACCTGGAAGTGGCCTGGACCTACCATGACTTCCAGAAGGGCCTCACATTTAGGGGAGAGCCCCTGGGGACTGCTCCCATCAATCCCACCTCCACTAAGTCGCCGAAAAACAGTCGAGAACCTAATGAAAGTCAGGTATATGTTCGTGGCCAGCTAAGATCTGGTATGGTCTGGGCCCTCTCCAGTGACTCCCCCAAATTTCTCTGATCGCCAATGCCTGAAATGAAATTCTTAGACAAGGGAACACTTCTCTTTCAAGGTGAATGGGGTGGTAAGGAATGGATGGGGGACTTCAGGCACCTGAAAATTGGATCCCAACTAGGGGGTAAATACTTCAGCAGAAAAAGGGGGCTGGATCCAGAACACAGATTTGAGAGTCTGTGTAAGTTACCCCAGGCTGTGTGGTGCAGTGGGGAACGCATAGACCTGAAGGCTCCACTTGTGGGCTTGGTCCTGGCTCTCTCATATTCCAGCTGTGTGACTTCAGTTTAGTTACCTGACCTCTCTGTGCCCTAGTTTTCTTATCCGTGAAATAAGGATAATAACAAAATCTTCTTTATAGGTTATGAGGAACTAAATAATACATAAATAAATGTATTTAATGTATAAAGTGTTTATGACGCAGCCTGGCACAGAATAAGAGTTACGTTATTAAGAGCTAGCTGTTAATATTTGACCCTGACTGTTCCCCTACAGCTGTATGCTTGAATACTTCAGTCCGCAACTCTAAGGCCACCAGCTGGGTCTCCTGTGATTTAGGAAGATTTGGGAGAGTTGGTTTTTTTTTTCTTTTTTTTTTTTTTACATGCTGACTTTCAATGAGGGAACACCATTCCCAGAAGATTTTAAATTAATTATCTCTATAAAACCATGGCAAAATGCCTTCTGGGGCACTTGCATATTAATAGATCAAGAAATCCTGGGTTTCAGGAATCAAATGCTGAGAAACTTTAGGCATCATTTCATTGATAGCATCCCAAGTCCCCCCTTGGGCACCGGAGCAATGGCTGGGGCTGTGACAGCTTAGGAGACAGAGGTAGGATTCTGCGGGGCTGGGTTAGACTAGAGGTTCTCGCAGAGGGGAGAGCTGTACCTGGGTCTAGAGTGGTTCCCAAAGCCTGGTCCCAGGCCAGCACCATCAATCTCACCTGGGAACTTGTTAGAGACGCAAATTCCTGGGCTCATCCCAGACCGACTTAATTAGAAACTCTGGGTTGTGCAAGGTGGCTCACGCCTATAATCCCAGCACTTTGAGAGGTTGAGGCAGGAGGATGACTTGAGCCCAGGAGTTTGAGACCAGCCTGGGCAGCATAGTGAGACAACATCTCTACAACAAATTTTTAAAAATTAGCCAGACATGGTGTCGCGTGCCTGTAGTCCCAGCTTCTTGGGAAGCTGAGGTGGAAAGATTACTTAAGCCTGGGAGGTCCAGGCTGCTGTGACCTGGGCAAAAGAATGAGACCCTGCTTCAAAAAATAAAAAATAAAAAATAAAAAAAACCTCTTGTGCTTTAATAAGTCCTATAGGTGATTCTGATGCTAGCTTAAGTCTGAAAACTGGTCTGTAGGATAAGTCAAGCCAAGTTTCAAATAACCAAGGCGAAGTCAGAGCCCGGAGACTGGAGGAAGCTAAGATGGAATCTGAGCCAAATCAGAGAATGGAGGTTCTGGGAAGTTGCTCTGCACACCCATGGCTGTTTTCAGCTACCCTTCATCTTTGGCAGGTGCAGCCTGGGAGTGGGTTTGGCCAAGTTAAAGGGCCAGGTACATGGACAGGTAGGGAAGTATTTGCAGGTTTTTCTGCAGGTCATTCTGACGCCTTTGAAATTATAGCCTGTGGTCTGTTACCTCCTCTGCATTCAAAAGGATTCATTTTTGTCAGTGCTTTTCTGGGAGAAAGACCTGGCTTGGAGATGGCATTTTAGATCCAGAATTTTGCCACTGGGTGAGTCTAGTCTCCTTACCCAATGTAGCAATCAACTCTGCAGCATCTCAATAGCAGGTCAGGGGTCCCCCTTCCACACTAGAGTGCAACAGAATGCATTCCATCTGCTGGCAAGTCCTTCCTTTGGATGGCCCCAAGCATCTATCACCATGCAGATAGTAAGTGCTCACACATATTGACTGAAACAATAAGTGACTTGTATTTATTTATTTATTTTTGAGACGGAGGTTTGCTCTGTTACCCAGGCTGGAGTGCAGTGGCATGATCTCAGCTCACCGCAACCTCTGCCTTCTGGCTTCAAGCAATTCTCCTTCATCATCCTCTTGAGTAGCTGGGATTACAGGCATGCACCACCATGCCCAGCTAATTTTGTATTTTTAGTAGAGACTGGGGTTTCTCCATGTTGGTCAGGCTGGTATTGAACTCCTGATCTCAGGTGATCCTCCCACCCCAGGCTCCCAAAGTGCTGGAATTACAGATGTGAGCCACTGTGCCTGGCCAAGTGGCTTGTATTGAACAGATATCTGATTTTTTCAACTCTCTGCCTTCTGGTTCTGACAGTGCTGGCTGCAGCAACGCAGGACCTGTCCACCCTCTCTTTCATTTGAAGGTCCCCATTATGCTTCCCATAGTCTCTTCTCCAGGAGAAATGTATCCCTCATTTCTTCTGAAGTTCATTTCATATCCCTCATTTCTTCTGAATTGCAGACCCAGAAGATTGCAAGTAAAATGACTAACGAGCAGTCAGATAAGAAACGGGCCCAGAAAACTAAATTGTGCATAAAATTAAGGAGGCTATGTTGGGGTACAGAAGAGAATGGGAAGTGGCAGGGCTAAGCATGAGGCTGATGAGACAGGTAAGTTAGGATTGAAGCCCACAGAGGCAGAGCCACCATGGAGAACACTTTTTCTGTGGGCCCCACGTGTCTCACCAGGGCCTGGAGGATTTGGGTAGGAGTTGAGCAGGACTAGTCAGGACTGAGTTGAAATGACAGTCACTAAAACTCCCAGATTCTTGATCTATCAGTTGCTGCCAAGCCAGGACACAACAATCCTGTGCTTTACCATTGGTATTTTGGACATAACTTTAGGGGTTTCCCTAATTCTTATTAAATTAAATCTCATTTATTGTAATTAGCCAAAACCATTTGAACCTCATTTTTGGAAAGCATTATCTAACCCTTTCAACTTTGTGTCATGCATCAAATGTATAAACTGACTTTTTTTTTCTTTTTCTTTAAAATTCTTTTTAGAGACAGAGTCTAACTCTGCTACTCAAGCTGGAGCACAGTGATGCAATCATAGCTCACTGCAGCCTTTAACTCCCGGGCTCAAGCGATCCTCCTGCCTTAGCCTCCCAAGTGGCTGGGCCTACAGGCGCAGGCCACCACACTTCACTAATTTATTTTTGTAGAGATGGGGTCTCCCTATGTTGCTCAGGCCAGTCTTGAACTCTAGGGCTCAAGCAATTTTTCTACCTCAACCTCCCAAAATGCTGGATTTACAGATGTGAGCCACTGTGCCCAACCTATAACCTGATTTTGATCTCTATATCTAAATAATTGAC